TCCATAGTATCTATTCTCTGATTATTATAAAATGCAAAAGCCGCTGTTTTATTTTTTTAAAAAAGTTCCGATTTCCAAAATCCAAATTCCAATTTGCTGACGTGTGCTATCGCTATATTTCTTTAATCTGATTGGATAAACGCGTGTGCACACGTCATCATTCCTCGTTGCAATTGGGCGAAATATTACAAACATATCAATCACGTAATCATGTTTAGTTGTTTTTCAATTTTGAGCCAAACAAAATTTCAACAACTGCCTCAAACAAAATCAAACAAGTTCAAAGCTGTTGTGATTTTTGAAGAAACTGTAGCAATGAGAATACAAGATCTAGAGCTTAAGAAATGAACAATACATGAACAACCGAGTGTTCACTGCAACGTTCGTCATTGCTGATATGAACATGAAATTCGTTATATAATTTCTTTCCAATTTCAAGTGAAATCTGCGAGCGAGGAATACGCCTTATTGAAGCTTTGTGTTTATGGTATGTACTGTTTTGAAGAAAAATATGCAAGTAGGTTGTCATATTTCGGTCGTACTTCAAGACAAATAATTTTGAAAATTGTTTACGATAAGAACCTTTCTTGAATTTGTCGTATTTTTTCGGCTGTTTTGCTCAAAAATTATCTCGCAAGTTTGTTTATAAAACTTTATATTCATATATAAAAATCATCTCGCAAGTTTGTTTATAAAACTTTATATTCATATATAAAAATTATCTCGCAAGTTTGTTTGTAAAACTTTATATTCATATATAAAAATTATCTCGCAAGTTTGTTTATAAAACTTTATATTTCAAACTTCTATTTCACGAAACACTACAACCGAAATATGGCAACCTGTTTGGCCGTTTTTTGTTCAAAATAGTGGATAGACAAGCTTCATAAGGCGCTTTCCTCGGTTTGCAACAGGTCTGTCGCAAGTTGTTGAAAACAGCATTGCTGCAGCTCTGTGTCAACAACTTGCGACAGGCCTGTTGAAAACAGCATTGCTGCAGCTCTGTCACAACAGCTTTTAACAGACCTGTTGAAAACAGCATTGCAGCAGCTCTGTTACAACAGCTTGTAACAGACCTGTTGAAAACAGCATTGCAGCAGCTCTGTCACAACAGCTTGTAACAGACCTGTTGACAGGCCGTTGCAGGTCTGTCAGAACAGACAGGTACAAGGCGAGCGAACGCATCCAGATATCGGCTTGTTGACAACAGGATTTAACAGATCTGTTGCAGATCTGTTCCGACTTGCGCGTTTCTGGCTGTGTAGCCATCTTAAAACCCCTTGTTTTCGGAATACTTAAACAGGCATCATTAGCACTTCTCCTCGACCCGTCCTCATTTCAATTATGCGAACTTAAGAAATGTGAAAAGTTTGCCTGAAGCAAAGAGCTACCTTCTCGGTTTAAATGCAGTCCTCTACTATTTAAATGAGAGCGACTAATATTACAATTGTCTAAAAATGCAAGCTTTTTCTTCAAGCAGCTTGACTTTAATATATTGTTAGTTTCATTTACCTTCGTTGTAAGTTCCTCTCTATCGCATCTAGTGACTAAAGAAGAGATGATGACTTCAGTATCATTGCAATCCTTTTTAAAATTCTCTGCTAACTCGATAATTTTCTTTGCAATTTCTTTAGGACTTGAATAGCGTATGTCGTTTGTGCCTGCATGGATAATGAGCTTATCGGGTTGCTTTCGTGCAGTGGGCTTTAAGAAATCACACATACCATTAACTGTTGCACCTGAGAAAGACTTAACTATTACGTTTCTGTCAGTGTTGGATACTTCCCAACCTTTTACATATTTTATAATCGAATCTCCAGCTATAACGACCGTTTCTTTAGTGCGTTGTCTTTCTGCTGTTCTTTCCTCACTTGCCTTATGCGCTTCTCTTGTTTGCTCGTTTTCCTTTGCCTTTTGTTCGTTATTCTTCACCTTTTGTTTCTTATTCTTATACTTCTTTTGTTCCTGGTTAATCTGCTGTGACCTCTGCTTGTTGGCTTTCGATTGAGCAGCTCTGTCATCAGATTCGCTCATTTGATTCTTACCAAAGCCCTTTTGTTGAAGGCTTAATTTCTCTTTTGTTTTTGTCGTGTTAGGAATTTCAGCAACACAGCCATGTTTTGGATCTTTGGGTCGTTCTTTGCTAGTGTCCTCGATTTCTATTTCCTGGAGTCCCATCGGGGGGGTGCGTTGTTGGTTGTGACGGCAACTAAAGAGTTTTTTGAGAAAAATTGTAAAATATGTTTGTCGCAACATAAAAGACACCCCCGACGGGACTCGAACCCACAACCTTTGAATTAGAAGTCCAACGCACTAATCCATTGCGCCACGGGGGTTTCGCCCATCGCCTTCGGCCTATATGTCGATTATACCAATCTGGTGTTACAGTCTGCATGGGTACGTAGGAGTTGTTAATCTGTCACCCGTATCCACTTTTATCCTCACCCTACGACACAACTCCAAAATTGGTATACTCAAAATATAGCCTGATGGGGGCGGGCGAAACCCCCGTGGCGCAATGGATTAGCGTGTTGGACTTCTAATTCAAAGCTTGTGCGTTCGAGTCCCATCGGGGGTGCGCGTTGTTGGTTGTGACGGCAACTAAAGAGTTTTTTGAAGAAAAATTGTAAAATATGTTTGTCGCAACATAAAAGACAACCACGATGGGACTCGAACCCACAACCTTTGAATTAGAAGTCCAACGCGCTAATCCATTGCGCCACGGGAGTTCGCCCACCGCCTTCGGCCTATATGTCGATTATACCAATCTGGTGTTACAGTCTGCATGGGTACGTAGGAGTTGTGAATCTGTCACCCGTATCCACATTGATCCTCGCCCTACGACACAATTCCAAAATTGGTATACTCAAAATATAGCCTGATGGGGCGGCCGAAACCCCCGTGGCGCAATGGATTAGCGTGTTGGACTTCTAATTCAAAGGTTGTGGGTTCGAATCCCATCGGGGGTACGCGTTGTTGGTTGTGACGGCAACTAAAGAGTTTTTTGAAGAAAAATTGTAAAATATGTCGCAACATAAAAGACACCCCCGATGGGACTCGAACACACAACCTTTGAATTAGAAGTCCAACGCGCTAATCCATTGCGCCACGGGGGTTCGTCCACCGCCTACGGCCTACATGTCGATTATACCAATCTGGTGTTACGGTCTGCATGGGTACGTAGGAGTTGTGAATCTGTCACCCGTATCCACATTGATCCTCGCCCTACGACACAATTCCAAAATTGGTATACTCAAAATATAGCCTGATGGGGCGGCCGAAACCCCCGTGGCGCAATGGATTAGCGTGTTGGACTTCTAATTCAAAGGTTGTGGGTTCGAGTCCCATCGGGGGTGTGCGTTGTTGGTTGTGACGGCAACTAAAGAGTTTTTTGAAGAAAAATTGTAAAATATGTTTGTCGCAACATAAAAGACACCCCCGATGGGACTCGAACCCACAACCTTTGAATTAGAAGTCCAACGCGCTAATCCATTGCGCCACGGGGGTTTCGCCCACCGCCGTCGGCCTATATGTCGATTATACCAATCTGGTGTTACAGTCTGCGTTGGTTCGTAGGAGTTGTGAATCTGTCACCCGTATCCACATTTATTCGCACCCTACGACACAACTCCAAAATTGGTATACTCAAAATGTAGCCTGATGGGGGCGGGCGAAACCCCCGTGGCGCAATGGATTAGCGTGTTGGACTTCTAATTCAAAGGTTGTAGGTTCGAGTCTCATCGGGGTTGTGCGTTGTTGGTTGTGACGGCAACAAAAGAGTTTTTTGAAGAAAAATTGCAAAATATGTTTGTCGCAACATAAAAGACACCCCCGATGAAACTCGAACCCACAACCTTTGAATTAGAAGTCCAACGCGCTAATCCATTGCGCCACGCGGGTTTCGCCCTCCGCCTTCGGCCAATATGTGGATTATACCAATCTGGTGTTACAGTCTGCATGGGTACGTAGGAGTTGTTAATCTGTCACCCGTATCCACTTTTATCCTCACCCTACGACACAACTCCAAAATTGGTATACTCAAAATATAGCCTGATGGGGGCGTGCGAAACCCCCGTGGCGCAATGGATTAGCGTGTTGGACTTCTAATTCAAAGGTTGTGGGTTCGAGTCCCATCGGGGGTGCGCGTTGTTGGTTGTGACGGCAACTAAAGAGTTTTTTGAAGAAAAATTGTAAAATATGTTTGTCGCAACATAAAAGACAATCACGATGGGACTCGAACCCACAACCCTTGAATTAGAAGTCCAACGCGCTAATCCATTGCGCCACGGGAGTTTCGCCCACCGCCTTCGGCCTATATGTCGATTATGCCAATCTGGTGTTACAGTCTGCATGGGTACGTAGGAGTTGTGAATCTGTCACCCGAATCCACATTGATCCTCGCCCTACGACACAATTCCAAAATTGGTATACTCAAAATATAGCCTGATGGGGCGGCCGAAACCCCCGTGGCGCAATGGATTAGCGTGTTGGACTTCTAATTCAAAGGTTGTGGGTTCGAGTCCCATAGGGGGTGTGCGTTGTTGGTTGTGACGGCAACTAAAGAGTTTTTTGAAGAAAAATTGTAAAAATGTTTGTCGCAACATTAAAGACACCCCCGATGGGACTCGAACCCACAACCTTTGAATTAGAAGTCCAACGCGCTAATCCATTGCGCCACGGGAGTTTCGCCCACCGCCTTCGGCCTATATGTCGATTATACCAATCTGGTGTTACAGTCTGCATGGGTACGTAGGAGTTGTGAATCTGTCACCCGTATCCACATTGATCCTCGCCCTACGACACAATTCCAAAATTGGTATACTCAAAATATAGCCTGATGGGGGGGGGGCGAAACCCCCGTGGCGCAATGGATTAGCGTGTTGGACTTCTAATTCAAAGGTTGTGGGGTCGAGTCCCATCGGGGGTGCGCGTTGTTGGTTGTGACGGCAACTAAAGTGCTTTTTGAAGAAAAATTGTAAAACATGTCGCAACATAAAAGACACCCCCGATGGGACTCGAACGCACAACCTTTGAATTAGATGTCCAACGCGCTAATCCATTGCGTCACGGGGGTTCGTCCACCGCCTTCGGCCTATATGTCGATATTACCAATCTGGTGTTACGGTCTGCATGGGTACGTAGGAGTTGTGAATCTGTCACCCGTATCCACATTGATCCTCGCCCTACGACACAATTCCAAAATTGGTATACTCAAAATATAGCCTGATGGGGCGGGCGAAACCCCCGTGGCGCAATGGATTAGCGTGTTGGACTTCTAATTCAAAGGTTGTGGGTTGGAGTCCCATCGGGGGTGTGCGTTGTTGGTTGTGACGGCAACTAAACAGTTTTTTGAAGAAAAATTGTAAAATATGTTTGTCGCAACATAAAAGACACCCCCGATGGGATTCGAACCCACAACCTTTGACTTAGAAGTCCAACCCGCTAATCCATTGCGCCACGGGGGTTTCGCCAACCGCCGTCGGCCTATATGTCGATTATACCAATCTGGTGTTACAGTCTGCGTTGGTTCGTAGGAGTTGTGAATCTGTCACCCGCATCCACATTTATTCGCACCCTACGACACAACTCCAAAATTGGTATACTCAAAATATAGCCTGATGGGGCGGGCGAAACCCCCGTGGCGCAATGGATTAGCGTGTTGGACTTCTAATTCAAAGGTTGTGGGTTCGAGTCCCATCGGGGGTGCGCGTTGTTGGTTGTGACGGCAACGTTTTTTGAAGAAAAATTGTAAAATATGTCGCAACATAAAAGACACCCCCGATGGGACTCGAACCCACAACCTTTGAATTAGAAGTCCAACGCGCTAATCCATTGCGCCACGGGGGTTCGTCCACCGCCTTCGGCCTATATGTCGATTATACCAATCTGGTGTTACGGTCTGCGTGGGTACGTAGGAGTTGTGAATCTGTCACCCGTATCCACATTGATCCTCGCCCTACGACATAATTCCAAAATTGGTATACTCAAAATATAGCCTGATGGGGCGGGCGAAACCCCCGTGGCGCAATGGATTAGCGTGTTGGACTTCTAATTCAAAGGTTGTGGTTCGAGTCCCATAGGGGGTGTGCGTTGTTGGTTGTGACGTCAACTAAAGAGTTCTTTGAAGAAAAATTGTAAAATATGTCGTAACATAAAAGACACCCCCGATGGGACTCCAACACACAATTTTTGAATTAGAAGTCCAACGCGCTAATCCATTGCGCCACGGGGGTTCGTCCACCGCCTTCGGCCTATATGTCGATTATACCAATCTGGTGTTACGGTCTGCATGGGTACGTAGGAGTTGTGAATCTGTCATCCGTATCCACATTGATCCTCGCCCTACGACACAATTCCAAAATTGGTATAATCAAAA